CACATGGCTTTGCACAGTTCACTTCTCTGGGCCTCAGTTTCCTCTATAAAAGAGGAGACTTTGAAATGAACGGATCGTCCCTTGGGGACATCCCACCTCCAACAGTCCGTGAGTCTAAGTTACAAATGAATGGGAGGCATCTAGGCAAATGTTTGCTTTACTGCTCAGAGCCTCTGTTCTCCCATCTGTAAAAGGGAAATGATGATTACCTGGTGTTCAGGGTTATGAGGAGCTAGCTAGCCAGTACCTAGTATTCAGGGTTACGATTAAATGAGCTAAGTATAAAACCTATTCTCTCTTCTTTTTTCTTTGTGTTAAACATTAATTTTTTAATCTCACTTGGGTCACTGACTCCCAAAAATAGGGTGAAAGCTATGAAAAAACTCACGTGGTCACAGAGATCGACATAATATTTTGCATACAATTTTGAGAGGGTTATGGACTCCTGGAGCCCCTTCATGAGCCCCTAGGGATCCACTGACGTTAGGCAAAGTCACTCCGACTAGAAAGTACTAAACCATCCTTCCAAAGAACACGACAGTAGCACAAAGAGCTACCGACATTTCTTCTCCTAAAACGACACAATGTCTGCCACTTTTCAATTTGCATTGAAAAAAAGGATAGCGAGGATTCCATCAATTTTAAGGTTTTTCCTCTCGTCAGTTTTTTAAACCTTGGGTACCTGCCGCACACAGCTTGTGCGCTAAGTGCATTTCCCGCAGATGACAAAATGAATGAACAGTCAGAAAGTGAACAGGAACAGGACAACTTGAAAGTATGTGATTTCATACAATTATCTTATGCATGTAGAGATTTGAAGGCTTAGGAGACCTGTGTATGCAAAAAGCAACTGTAGCATCTTCTTTGCAGACATCCCCATGGTCTGGTTCCTAAAGAACATCGCCACTGAGTCTGCGCACCTGAGAAATAGTGGATATGAATAACGTCCTCTGGCTGCCACTGAGCCTCCAAACGCACCCCACTGGTGACATCTCATTTGTTTCTGAGCAGGGTGACAGTGGTGGGATTTTTTGTTTGCTTGTTAAATAAAAAATGAGTGAAGCTTTGAGGTGGGGAATTTGGATATCTTGTCTCCTTGAAGCTGCTCTCTACACCATCCTTTGAAAGAAGGAGCTCATTTGGCTAAATTATTACCGGTATGGGCCATTTGTCTTTAAAGTAAAGCTTTCCTGATGAGCTTCTTTTCAAATGGAGTTATAACCAAGTTAAAATAAGCCCAATACAAAGTGATTGGTGGAGACCAAAGTACACCCAGTTGGAAGATGTCCTAACACAAGGCTGGGGTCTCTGACTCCATCACTCTACAAGTATTTTTGATGTGCCAGGCATTGTAGTAGGCACTGAGAATTCTTATATCAAGACACAGACTCAGCTCGGCACCTGTGGCTCAAGCGGCTAAGGCGCCAGCCATATACACCTAAGGTGGC